TTCTAGGGCGATGAAATTGGAGAGTGAGATTTTAGCGGCAATTACTTTAGCAAAATATTGCTATAATTGTGTCTATATATACATAAAAAGTTGGCGCGTGTTTCCTTTTTTTCTTGTATTCGCTTTTCTTTGGTACAGGGACCTTCCGGTTTCCAAATCCACAAGGGAACCGACTAATCCGGAATCGAGCCGGGTAGGACCACAAGGCCGGCAAAGCTCTCCCTAAAGAGTTTTAACACTGCTGCAAAGTTCTTGTATTCGCTTTTGAATTAGTATAATACTCAGCTTATTTAAAATTTATTTTTAAATTTTAAAATTAATAAAAAAAAATTATTTTAAAATTTTTATTTACTTTTTAATAAAAACTATATATCCTCCCTATATATAATTTCCGCATGCGCTGAGCCTACGTGGCTGCTTCTGGTGCTCCGGAATCTTACTTGGCGAAGAATCAGGCTTTGTAATTAGGTTTGAACAAATAATATTGATATATTAATAATTAATAATTTAGGTTCAGACATTCCATAAATATTATTTATCTAAGTTAGGTATTTTAATATCATTGTACTAATATAACCCTTTAATTATTTGTAATTTGCACTAAGTGACTAATATATCCCTGACTTTAATTTGTTTCCTTCAATTAGCTATTGAATTGTAAATGTATTTTAAAAGTTGATAACTTTTGTATTTCTTATCGGTTTTATATATATTATATATCAAATTAATCATCTTTTGATGATCTTCGATTTGATTTTCATATTGTATATATGAAATAAATAAATTGTATTTATCTTTATAATAATAAAAAATATAATATTTATTAAAATCTATTAGAAAAATAATATTATTTATCAATTGATATATTTATTTTTAATGTAGTTATATTTTGTAAGTTAAAAATTATTATAATATAACACATGTAAGTTGCACAAATAAAAAGTGTTATACTAAATATAATATATATATATATATATTTGTAAAAGGTATTTAAATTTTCAACTACTTTTTCTCATTAATTTTAGACTTTAAAAAAAAAATAGCAAGCACCCATATAATACACGGGTGTTATACTAGTTGTTATATATTTTAGAATTACACTTGTTACTTGTGCGACTTACATGTGTTATAATATAGTAATTTTTATAAATTATATCATATAACTAATTGAAATATAAATATATTAATTGATAAATAATTTATTTTTCTACTTATTATTAAAAATAATTTTATTATTGTTATAAAGATAAGTACGATTTATTTTCTTTTTATACATACAATATGGAAGTTAAATCGAAGTTCATCAAGAGATAATTAAATTGATATACTCTATATGTAAAAGTGATAAAAAAATACAAAAGTTATTAACTTT